GGCCCCACCTTGCGCCGTGATGCTCCCCGCGGCCTTTGGCCCCCCGCCGAGGCGCTTCTGGGGCGCGTGGGTTCTTTAGAAACTCCCAAGTTCCCGGCTGCGAGCTCCCTCGAGGGAGGAAGGAGGGGGAGGAAGGATCTCCTTGCGCCTGGTTTGACCTCTGGAGCTCTCCTCCCGTCGCTGGAGAGCCCACGGGGAGAGCTGGCCGACGGCTTTCTTCGTCTGTCACTCTGGGAAGCTTCCGCACCCGACACGGATACGAGGGGGAAGTAATGAAAGATTCAATGTCCGAGGTGAGCGAAACGCAAACTAGGTAGATCGGTTTCAGGCCTGGCCTCTGCGTGGCCATCAAGGGTGTCTTGGATGCCAGGAGGCCTCCTGCCTGGAGAAGTGACCAAGAGGCTCCTCAGCCTTGCGTCAGAACCAGCAGCGCCTTGGGCGGGCGTCCCTGCGGCGGGCAGGTTTCGCCTGCGGAGGGTGCTCCAGGACGGGAGGTGCGGTGGGGAGCGTCTCCAGCCAGTGCTGTGCCCTCTGGGCTTAGAGAGCCCCATGCAAAGGCGAAACCGCTTTGGCGCAACAGGGACCTCAAAGGTGCCTGGGCAATGCTGGGCTGCAAGCACAGCCCAGATTTGGGGGAAGCAACGCAGTTGTGGTTTTCCTCTAGAAGCAGAAACTGTGCCAGGAGAGCTGTGTAGTGGCAGACCGTATTTAATACACATGCCTGGGTGTGAGGTGGCTGTGTCTACCTGGAGACTTGAGGGCTGCCGTGCAGCTGCCTGAGGCATGCTGATCACCGTGTGGTCTTGCTGCATGTGTCCCTTAAAGCTGTGAGGCATCGAGGCTGGTGGGTGAGGAGCGCTTGGAGGAGAGCAGCTGCTGGATTATGTGAAGGCAAAGGAGCATGTTAAGGGCAGAATTAGCACTCTTGCTGCAGGTGGCATAGGAGGACTTGGTGGCTACACCAGGGCTCCAGGTGGCTACAAGCCCCACTGTCAGCCTTGCTTCATTCTTCTGTAGGCAGCTGTTTACCTACTGTAAGAGTCTGTACTTTACCTACTGTAAGGGACTAAATAACGGTAAGGGGAATCCCCTGGGGAAAAGAGGGAGCCTTAGTACATCTTCTTGGTTCAAAGATTGAGCTGAGGCTCAACAAGTGGAGCTGGACTTTGTTTCATCAGTATGATGCAGCTTTTAGCATATGGGTTTCTGGGTGGAGCAAGCTTCCGTGCTGGAGAGGAAGTGTCATGCAGGGCACAGACTGTATATCCGTGTGGGTTTCTGCCCTACCCTCAGGAGTGCATGGTCTGAGATCTGCTCTGATAGTGTGTTTGCAGGCACTGTTAAGCGACAGTTTGCTCTGGGATCTCTCATCTAGCTCTGCCTTAAGTTTTGATCCCCTTGAGCTGCTCAGGAGCAGCTTTCCAATACAAGCTCTCCTCCCAGAAGTCAACAACCAGCTCTGCAACCGAGAGTCTGCAGTGTCAGTTGTGCAGGCATGCTTTTTTTCCCAAAACTTTGCAAGTTTTCCGTAAACTTGGAAACGGTCACTTTGGGAACAAGAGCTCCTTGCAGTGAATAATTCTCATGTTGAAACTCAGCTGAAGTTTGGCCAGAACCATGCTTTTCCTGTAACTTAAACACAGCGTTTCCATGTGGTGGCTGATGATCCCTGTTACGTATCCTAGCTCCTGGGAGGTCTGTGACTGAGGTGCTCTAATGAGCTCATTCTTCCTATCACATCCCAGACTGTTTGTTCGGGCTCAGGGAAGGGGTTGGAGCAGAGCACGCGCTGGTGGACAGACAGCGGTAACAGCTTCACTGCCCAGTCCAGAATACTCTGTCCTTGCTGTGTTTCTGACCGCCAAGCCAGTGTGACTTGAAAGAGATTGCTCTCAGTGTCTGACAGAGATAGATCTATTTATTGAGTGGCAAAACCTCTTGTGAGAGTTACCAATCTGGTAAGCAGCCCACGTTAACCCTTCGAGATCAGAGTAACCTGAAGGTTTCTGTGACAGACTGGAGCAAAGCATATGAAACAGGCTATGGGATTTCAGATTAAAGTTATTACAGACACATGGAAAAGGCACCTTCCCTCTGTTCTCCACTCGTTCCTCATATCTGGTGATAAGGTCACCAGATTTAAAGCTCTCTGTGGCTGTGACTGCACTGAGTCACAATCATTATTATTAGCAGGGAAGCTGCTTGGTAGCTGGAGGAGAGTAGGGTCCATCTGTTCACCTCTGTGGACAGATAGTGTAGCCAGTTCAGCAG